TTATTATTATTATTATTATTATTATTATTATTATTATTATTATTATTATTATTATTATTATTATTATTATTGTTATCATTATTATTGTAATTGTTATACAACTCTAATGCTGTTGATAATAAGCTGCCCATTACATATGTTTCAGGTTGTAACAGAAATAAGTCAGGCTTGGGCATCAATGGAGCTCTCCTATGAAGAACATTACCATACTTCTGTCCCACTACTTAAATGTGATGAGGAGCTTATTGAGAAGCTTGAGGATCATCAGGTAGATATCTAATTTACTGAGAACTTGCAAAGTAAATTTATTGTAGAATACTTATAAATCATGAGAATTTGCTCTCAACATTATTGTTTGTGGAAGGACAGATAAGTGCTGGGATGAGAGTGTAATAAGGGTGGTCGTGTCTGAGTGTCTTAACAGCTCGGCCGAGAGTAAAGAGGTCCCTATTGAGTCCTTAGATTTACAGCTGCTGAGGAACACACAGCATTGTTGCTCCATGGTGCTCTTTGAACACATGCACCAGATGTATTGGAGTGTTACAGCCAGCAATTAGAGATCTTGCTATTCTAGTGTCTCCTTGTTTGTTGAAATGGTGCGTTACCATGCCAATGAGGTGGAATGTGTTCTCAAGTAAAAATGGTTTATGCAATGATGTCTGGTTATCAGGCTTTTGCTCTTTCATGCCATTGTTCGTGTGGAAGTGTGGTGTGCTTCAGTTTTACAATTGACCAAACCCTTCATCTAAGCTCTACTTACTGCTGTTTATGCCTTTCTCTTGAAGGTTCTGCTCCAGAGTGTTTTTCTGAGCAAGCATGTAGATCACTTCTTCTTCCAGGCAGTGGAACTACAGAACCAGCTGACTGTGGCTGACACTGTTCTGATGGTCTGGATGGAGGTACAAAGAACATGGACCTACCTGGAAAGCATCTTTAAAGGCTGTGATGACATTGGCCAACAGCTGCCCACAGATACACACAGATTTCAAGCTATAGATGCTGAATTTCAGGTCTGTGTGTACATGCCAGAGGTACAGTTAAGCACTGTCACTGTTTTTTATATATATTTATTTTCAAATTCATGTTGGGTGTTCCAGGAGTTAATGTTGGACAGTGCTAAGACTAAAAATGTAATTGAGGCCACCAACAAACCACATCTATTTGAGAAGTTGGAGGATCTACAAAAAAGGTTTTTGCATATTTTGATTTTACTGTAATTACTTTTCTTCAAAGTTCTTTCCTTACTATTACCACTTCTGCTTTGTATCAGGCTAGCTTTATGCGAAAAAGCTCTTGCTGAATACTTGGAGACAAAAAGGATTTCCTTTCCACGATTTTACTTCCTTTCATCTACAGACTTGTTGGATATCCTTTCTAAAGGGAGTCGTCCCAGTGAGGTAAACTTGTAAAGGATTTTATATTGGCTCTATTTGGCTGTGTATTTATTTTCTGTTGCTGTTGTAATGCTTAGCATATTTTTCTTTTGTAGGTAATTGTACATCTCTTAAAACTTTTTGACAACATGTCAGATCTTGAATTTGCCAAAAATGACCAGATGGACAATCCTAAATATGCTGTGGGCATGTACAGCAGAGAGAGGGAGCATGTCCCATTCCAAACTGAATGTTGCTGTTATGGGCTGGTAAGATTATATTCAGAGTCAAACATTTTTAATTTGTTATCAGCTTCAGAAGATAACTAAGCCACTGGTCAAAATTCTTTACATTAGGTGGAGACATGGCTTGCTTCTCTTGAAGAGTCAATGAGGAAATGTATCAGGGGTCACCTGCTTGAAGCTGTGTCTGTGTACGAGGACCGATCCAGAGAGCAGTGGATTCTCGAATTTCCTGCCCAAGTTGCTCTAACTGGATCACAAATCTGGTGGAGTAATGATATGGAGCTTGTGTTTAAAAGATTAGAAGAGGGATTGGAGTCTGCACTAAAAGACTACAACAAAAAGCAGGTATATTTAATGCAACAAGACACTAACCCAGGATTTGATATCAGGAGGGTTTCACAGAATAAATTTCATAATCTATTTTAGATGTATATATAGACCAAAGTGTTTTAATGCCAAGATTCCAGTTTGAGTAAATTTCAAATTATCAGTATGTTTATTGTTGTTGTGAACAACAAAAATAGACAGATACATCATGTCTGTGATGTCCATCCATTTTCATAACCATTTATTTCCTAATGGGGTTGCGGGGGGACTGGAGTCTATCCCAGTAGTGAATGGGCGAGAGGCAGGGTAGACCCTGGACAGTCCATCGCAGGGCCACACACAAGGACAAACAACCATGCACACTCACAGTCACTCCTAAGGGCAATTTGGAATGTCCAAATGGACCGTGGGAGGAAGCCGGAGAACCTGGAGAGAACTCATGCAGACACAGGAAGAACCTGCAAACTCCACACAGAAAGGTCCTGGTTCCCCGGGACTCGAACCCAGAACCGTCTCGCTGTGAGGCGATGGTGCTAACCACCATCGCCTCACAGCGAGTGTAATGTCTATGATGATTTTTTTAAGTTTCATATTTTGTGTTTACTAAAAAGGCTAAGTCCAAATTATCCATGTTCCCAATTATTAATTTTATGGCAAATCTCTTCAACACAATGTTACAACTATACCACTTTATTGATTCCAGACAGGAAAAAAAAACAAAAAAACAATAATAAACCATGACTAATAACCAAAGATTTTCAGGGATGAGAGTTTCTATTTTTCCCATTTACTGCAAAGTATTTGTTTTTCATATTTTTTCTCACCTTTCCGTAATACCATCTTAATCACATCAGTCAGTGACCTGAGCTGGGCTTTTGAAACATCATTTTGGCTTGTGCTCACAGTTATATGATCACTCTTGTCAGTTTCATCAGCACTACTAAAGGTTAACATGTCCTTGGCTGCTGTTTGAATAATCTTCTTCCTTCCCCCAACCCACGGTGCTGCACTGATTGGGTCTGCTATTGTACAGGAGAAGGGACAAATGACATCTCAAAATGCTCAAGTTGAAACAACATCTTTGAATACACAGGTTCCATATTGATGTATTTCCTGTATATCATGTTCTGTGTAGATGGATTTTCATTGAAAGGACTTTTGACACCTATTAGTATCTGTGAAACATTCAACTTTAGCCGAAAAGTATATAGTTTCGATCAATTCACTCCCACCTTTTTCATTTTCTTCTTCTGATTCCTGTTTATGCTATAGATCTTTTCTTTTACCACCAGATTTCTCAACTGAACTTGTTGATTGGCCTGTTGCTGGGAGAGTTGAGCCCAGAAGATCGACGGAAGGTCATGACTGTCTGTACTATTGATGTACACGCCAGAGACATTGTTGCCAGCCTTATTGCTCATAAGGTTGACATAAATTGAAATCTAACTTGATGATTTTACTCTCACTAACTAACCAAATATACAATGAGAATTAGGTTGTGCATCAGTGGAAATAAATTATTTATTTTAAAATACAAACAACATGGTAATAGTTAACTGTATACCATATTTGTTTGACTTGCACTTGCAGGTTACCAACTCACAAGCGTTCCAGTGGCTTTCCCAGCTTCGACATTGCTGGAATGAGAAGGATCACCACTGTTATATCAACATTTGTGATGCTCAGTTTCGTTACTTGTATGAGTATCTTGGAAATGCGCCACGTCTTGTTATCACTCCTCTCACAGACAGGTCACAATGAAGTTTTTCAGTCTTAATACTTTAAATTCTCACAAGCTCAAACCACTTAAAAACACACTTGTGTATCCCTTTGTGTTACTGATAAGTATAGGTGCTATATCACCTTGACTCAGTCGCTCCACCTGATGATGAGCGGAGCCCCAGCAGGCCCGGCAGGAAGTGGGAAGACTGAGACAACAAAGGATCTAGGTAGAGCCATGGGGGTCATGGTGTACATTTTCAACTGCTCTGAACAGATGGACTACAAGGTAAGATGCGTTGCTAAGAGTTAAAAATGATTACATCTGGTAATTAATTTTTTGTGATGATTAAAACAAAATTCTTTTTTTTTTCATGTTGAGTCCATTGGAAATATATACAAAGGTCTGGCCCAGACTGGAGCATGGGGCTGCTTTGATGAATTCAATCGTATCCCTGTAGATGTTCTGTCAGTTGTAGCGGTACAGGTCAAAGCTATTCAGGACGCCCTTCGTTCTAAAAAGAAACGGTGGGTTATCGAGACTGAATACACTGAGTTTGCATCATAGTGTGTGAGTTTTGATTAATCAATGTTGTGTGTCATCTCACAGTTTCCTGTTCCTGGATCACGACATTGCCTTAAAAAACTCGGTAGGGATTTTCATCACTATGAACCCTGGCTATGCAGGCAGGGCAGAGCTACCAGAGAACCTCAAGGCTCTTTTCAGGTGGGAGTGATTTAAAACGACTAATTCATGTATTTTTTATTTAACAAAAATGTTTTATTATGTTCCCTGACTGTGTCAAACTGCAGGCCATGTGCCATGGTGGTGCCTGACACTGAGCTTATTTGTGAGATAATGTTGGTGGCAGAAGGTTTCCATGATGCAAAGGTTTTAGCCAGGAAGTTCACTGCTTTGTACCGTCTTTGCAAAGAGCTACTCTCAAAGCAGGTGGGGAAAACAATTTCTATCCAAATTCTTTAATAAGAACAGATTAAATAAATTATTAATCTACATCAGCCATCATCAGGCATCAGTAGGACATTTAAATATTAAACCAACAGATACAATTGATTTATAAATATCATATGGTTGAAGTTGAATGTGAGTTTTTGTTTGGCTTTTAGGATCATTATGATTGGGGTTTACGTGCTGTAAAGTCTGTTCTGGTTCTGGCTGGTGCACTGAGAAGAAGAGACAAGACAAGGCCAGAAAACCAGGTGATTTGATATTTTCATTTAATTTGATGTTTATAAAAGAATGGATCATATTCTTTTCTAAGAGCCAACATAAATTCTTAGGTGCTGATGCGTGCACTCCGGGATTTCAACATGCCTAAAATTGTGACTGAGGATGTCAGTGTATTCCTGGGACTTCTTGGAGACTTGTTCCCAGGCTTGGAGGTGGAAAGAGAAAGAAACTTTGAATTTGAGAAGGCTGTCAAAGAGACTATGCTGGAGCTCCGACTACAACCTGAGGACTCATTTATATTCAAGGTTTGGAATTAAGCGAAGTAAAAAAAGAAGAAGAAAAAAGAATCCTTATCTTTAAGCATCTTTACATCTTTTTGTCAGGTGGTGCAGCTAGAGGAACTCATGACAGTGCGTCACTCTGTCTTTGTTGTTGGAAATGCAGGGACTGGGAAAAGCCAGGTTTGTTTTCTGACTTGAAAGTAGTAAAATTGATTATAATTGTTCATTTTTCTTAAATATTGGAACAACTGTCAAATGGGAGGCCGTTACATTTTTAACAGATCTTGAGAGTTCTTCATAAAACCTATGTAAACCTGAGGAGGAAACCAGTCTGGAATGACCTGAATCCAAAGGCAATAGACCGAAATGAACTATTTGGCTTCATCCATCCTGCAACACGGGAGTGGAAAGATGGTAAACAGACTTGAATTTTTAATATACTTTGCAACAATTGTCAGTTAGTGTTGGCACTCAGGATTTGGTTTTGACCTTCCTACTTGGATCAATAAGTGGTTTCATTGCAAGGCATAATTGAACATATCCACCTTATGCTGCATAACCCAGAGAAAAATGCCACCAGATTTTATTGTTAATGTATCTGCTCTGTTGTCTGAGGCTGTATATGTCGGGAGTGCAGATATGTGCAGACAGGAGAGAAGCAAAGTATAGGCAATGCAGAAATGTAAACTGATTGCAATATTATTTTTTTATCAATAATTTTTCATTGTTGTTTGTGAATACCTAAACAATCACTGTCAAGAGGTCAACATCTAAAAATGTTTTGAGGACATGCAGGTCAATAGGTTGTTTAAAAAAAATGTTTTGTATGATTTTTACATGACCCTAAAAAATTTAGAAAAGTATTGTTTGTAATCACATGTGCAAACAGTGCTCACTCTGTGCAATTTGTGTTTTTTGCATTCTTCAATCTTTGTGTAAGGTTTGCTTTCATCACTGATGCGAGAGCAGGCAAACATCTCCCACCTTGGGCCTAAGTGGATTGTGTTGGATGGAGACATTGATCCGATGTGGATTGAATCACTCAACACAGTGATGGATGATAACAAGGTACCTCCCTCCTGTTCACTCTTGCACTATTGTGCAAGACATAGCAACCAAGGTGGTATATACAGAAAAAGATGCCTCGTTCCCCCTCCTTCAGCAATCACTTCCTGGAGTACAAGTGTTGTTGTTTTTTTTAAGAGTAATCAATCATGTCAGTGATCTTGTGCCTTTCAAATAGTCTAAAGAAAGTTTTCCTGACCTGACAAGATATGGAGATTTTTTAACTCACTCGCTTCATAATCCTTTTTAGGTTCTGACATTAGCCAGTAATGAGCGTGTGCCACTTACCTCATCCATGAGACTGGTGTTTGAAATCAGTCACCTTATGATGGCCACTCCTGCTACTGTATCCAGGGCAGGAATTCTCTATGTTAACCAACAGGACGTGGGCTGGAATCCGTGAGTTACGATAAACTATTATTTATCTGTCAATATTCATGCAATTTCAAAGGTATTTAGTATGAGACCACTTTTGTATTATTTTCTGTATTTTGGATTGTTGCCCAGGTATGCTGCCAGTTGGATTGATCAACGAGAACGCCAAACAGAAAGAGCTCACCTCACCATATTGTTTGAGAAATACGTTCCACTTTGTCTGGAACAAATGAAAAACCGCTTCAAGACAATTACTCCCATCCCAGAGATTTCGATGGTGCAGGTGCATACCACACAAGCTTATATAGCACATTTCTTGCTTCTTTGCAAGTCCTCATAGTTCAAAGATTCCAGTGTAACAATAATTATTCTTGTCATTCAGACACTCTGCATATTGCTTGACTGCCTTCTGACACCAGAAAATATTCCATCAGATTCTCCTCGTGAAGTATATGAGATTTATTTCACCTTTGCCTGCATTTGGGCTTTTGGGGGGGCCCTCTGTCATGATCAGGTACTTGTTTGGTGCAATTCAAGTGAAGAAATTGTGACGTGGTATCTTTAATCTGTAAAGTTATTTGGTGACACCAACATTCTCTTTGTATTTGCAGAAATATTTATTTAATAATAATAATAATAATAGTAATTATAATTATAGTAAGTATATACTGTATAATTATAGTAGTATAGAATATAGTGTGTATGTATATATATATATATATATATATATATATATATATATATATATATATAATCTTTATAATTATCTTTATTTTAACATTTATTTATATTTTCTATCTTTATTAAAAACATTTTTTTTATGTTCTTACTCAGCTCCACGACTATCGGGTCGAGTTCAGTCAGTGGTGGGCCAAAGAAATGAAGACAGTGAAGCTGCCAGCACAAGGGACAGTGTTTGACTACTACCTTGATCATCAAACCAAGCGCTTCCTGCCCTGGAGTGACATTGTGCCGCAGTTTGAACTGAGAAGTTGCACACCATTACAGGTGAGAACTTGAAGAATTCGGTAACTATTAGAGTGAAGGGCACTTAAGAAAGAAACACAAACTTTTAAAAATGGTTTGACAAATAATCATGATGACAAGAAGAAAAATAACCAAAATGAACAATATAGGGATATTAAAAATGTATGCATGCCTCAATGAACAAAATAAGTGAGGGTAAAGTTAAATCATGAGGTTATGGTAGGGGTGCTGAAATGGATGATAGGCTTGCTACTGTGTCTGATTACCATCTACCACTCCTTGTACCAGAGTGTGTGGGGGTGAATGCATGAGCAACAAGGCTTGAGCTATCACCCACGCTCTTTTGTCTTTCTTTATGCTCCTGCATACAGCTGTGAATGCTCCAAAGGCTCTTGCTGAGCCATAATTAGTGGGGTTTTGTTCTGAGCAAATGATGCTATTATGACAGAATAGTTGTGGTATTCTGGGGAAATACAAGAAATTATAAATCACATACAATTCACTGAACACATGTCTGTCAATAAATCACAATCAAAGAAAGCCATAATAACCATGTATGTTTCTGTTCTGTATCTTCCTGCTGTTTCCATGATTGCAGGCTGTTCTGGTACACACAGCAGAGACTGTGCGTCTGTGGTACTTCATGGACTTGTTGCTAGAGAGAAGGCAGCCGGTGATGCTTGTGGGGAATGCTGGAGTGGGAAAGACTGCACTTGTCAGGAGCAAGTTAGAGTCACTGCCAGAGAGTTACATGACCTCAAAAGTACCCTTCAACTACTACACTACCTCCCTCATGTTACAAGGTGAACATTTTTTGGATTGTCTTGAGGTACATATTTGAATTCCAAGAAAACTGTAGCACCATCTGCTGGCAGTGACTACATTCAGAGAGGCAAATCAAAATTAAACTTTACCTCAAGCTTTATCTTTGTTATTTTACTCAGACCCCTATATTCCAATATCTTATTTTAGTTATTCTGTCTGTATTATTATTTAATTGTAATTTACAACAGTTTAATTGAATTCTCTTTGTTGTTATATCTTGCAGAGATCCTAGAACGACCATTAGAGAAAAGAGCAGGCAGATGCTACTCCCTTATAGGCAACAGGAAGCTCATTTACTTTATAGATGACATGAACATAGCAGCTGTTGATCCCTATGGAACAGTACAGCCTCATGCGCTCATACGCCAGCATCTGGATTATGGGCACTGGTGAGAAGACCATCAAAGGACAAGTCAGATCCTGTAGTCCATTATTCGGTGCACTGTGCAACACTAACTAATCTTGGACGATTTGCTTTTGATAGAGAGAGTTGTGGAGAAAAGCTTATGCACAACGCACGGAAAAATAGAATGCAGATATGAATATCAAGTGCTAGTTCTCCATTTGTGTGTTTTTTTGCTTTTTGCTTTGTCTTTGTTTATTCTCTAAAACCTTCTCCTTTGCATTGGCTTCTTTAGGTATGGCAGACAAAAGCTGGCCTTAAAAGAAATACAAAACACCCAGTATATTGCTTGTATGAATCCAACTGCCGGAAGTTTCATCATTAACCCCAGGTTACAGGTATGTTGTGATACTCGTAATTCATCATCTTAACTAGTTTTTCAGTAAAATGAATACTTTTGAGATTATTAAAATGTCATCAGCAAAATATAATTGATTAAAAATAATGCTATTTAGATTTTTTTAAGATGGTGATTTAAAAAAAATGCTATAATGCTTTTATAGATAGATAGATAGATAGATAGATAGATAGATAGATAGATAGATAGATAGATAGATAGATAGATAGATAGATAGATAGATAGATAGATAGATAGATAGATAGATAGATAGATAGATAGATAGATAGATAGCAGGCAAGAGTCTTATACACTGCTTTGTCCCCCATCAGAGACATTTCTCAGTGTTTGCAGTGAACCTTCCGTCATTTGAGGCTCAGATGTCAATCTACAGTCAGATACTGTGTGGTCATGTAAAGCAGCAACTGTTCAGTCCATTGGTCCAGAGGAGTATTCCAGCTGTGGTCAAAGCTGCTTTAAAGCTTAATCACAAGATAGTTCACAACTTTCTGCCTACAACCATCAAGTTTCACTACACCTTCAACCTTCGAGACATATCTAATGTCTTTCAGGTAATGCTGATACTAAGCACATATTACCAGTGAACTAGGAAAAAACATTTTAATTATTATCTTTGTTTTAAGGGCATCATTCTCTGTCCGCCTGAGAATTTAAAAGGAAACATTGACATGGCATTGTTATGGCTCCACGAGTCCTGTAGAGTATACTCGGACAGACTGGTGGATGTGAAGGACCTTGAGCTTTTCCAGAAGCTCCAAATGGAAACTCTACATGAATGCTTTGAGGTGCCCTGCAGATGTTAAAAGGAAAAAATAGGAAAGAGAATAAACTGCCTTTCTTCACCTGCAGAATATGTCATGACCAATGGAGTTGTGTTTGTCTTTCCCAGGGAGTGGAGGAAAAAAAATTGAAAAAACAGCCCCTCCTCTTCTGCCACATTTCCCACATGGATGAGGATCCCTCCTATACTCCTGTCACAGACTGGTCGACTCTCAAGACAGCCCTCACAGATGCATTGGAAAGCTATAATGAGCTGCATCCAGCAATGAATCTTGTGCTATTTGAAGATGCAATGCAACATGTGTAAGTGCTATACTAATAATCCCTTGGAAAACGGAGAACTTGAAAATAAATAATGTGCTGATAGTTGTATAAAGATAATTTGTATCCTTAGAGGTATAACAAAGATTCTGTTGTGACCAGCTGCCGCATCAGTCGCATCCTGGAAGCTCCAAGGGGTCATGGCTTACTGGTTGGGGTTGGGGGCTCTGGAAAACAAAGTCTGACTCGTTTGGCAGCCTACATGTCGTCTGTGGAGGTTTTTCAAATCAGTCTCACTAAAGGTTATAGTGTCCAGGACCTCAAGGTAAAATATCATTCCCTAAATCAAAACTGTCAGGAAGAAATCACAATGGGCATCATATGAATAAAATTACTTTTATGGAAATGTGCACGTTTTAATCCAATAACTATCCACAAAGTCTTTAAATGACCTTGCTATGTAAAATTTACCTCTTCTTCAGCTCGCTTCCCGGATTTGACCATGTTTCCGCTGAGTTCATCCTCTTTAATGATGCAGAAAAGCATTGTCAGATACTATTAAAAGCCACTAGAAAATATTTTAATATCCTATTGATGCAACAAGATTGTTGATGTAACCTTTTAATAGCTATTGAAAAGTCAGGCAGTTATCAGTTCCATTGATTATTATACTGAATAAGATGTTTTATTTTATTTTAGACTGATCTGGCAGGGTTGTTCCTAAAGACTGGAGTCAAGAATCAGCGTGTGGCTTTCCTTCTAACTGATGCCCAGATACCTGATGAGCACTTTCTGGTTCCTATTAATGACTTACTGGCATCAGGTCAGATCTAAAATCATCTGTGCTGCTTCACCTGACACTCATCTCTTATTATGACTGTATATTTTTAACAAATGTATTCAATAATCATCAATAATCATACATTCAGTTTTTTTCTGAAACGGTTTTGAAATTTGAATGAGGGAATGGCTATTTCCAGAGCTTTGTAAGTTATTTAGATTTTTCCACCCCAGGGGAAATTCCAGAGCTTTTTAGTGAGGAGGACATGGAAGAAATTGTTTCCAGTGTGAGAGCTGCAGTACGAGGCGTTGGACTGCTGGACAACAGGGAGAACTGTTGGAGATTCTTTATACACCGAGTGCAACGACAACTCACGGTCCACTGTTTAAATTCCTTCTACTGTCTTTCTAAATATGTAGTGTTTTGACTGTATTTCTGAAAAAAAAAAGATTGTTAAAATTCACAATTGACCGGCTTTTTTATGTTGTTTATTTAAGTTCACGTTAACTTTGTCTTTTACATTTCTGCATACTGTTGATGCTTTTATTTATGCGTTTTGCATGCACAAAAAGAAATTAATTACTACATCTTACAAATGCATAGGGAATCTTTTAGCCTAAAAACTTGAAGCACAAGTGCCTGATATTATTAAACCTATTTTCCAAGCCAGACAAATTGGATGCAAAAGGAAGGAAATGTTTTTCTCAGTGAACACGTATGGCATCCAGCTAGTCATTGCGCCAGGGCCTCTGGTAGCGTTACCGTCTGCTTTGGCCCACTGGGAATGTGGCTGCTGTCCACATGCCACAGTGATGAAAGTAGGGGCACAGGCGGCTGCCAGTTAGGAGTTTCCCTTTTGTAAACACATGATATGACATCTATAACCTATTTATATTTCCCTGTATATTATATTTGCTATATATTGCATAATGCTTAACCACAATAAAGCACATTTACAAAGACTCTGTGATAAAATTGTGCTTTAGTGACACTTTTCTCTCTCTTTAGGTAGTACTGTGTTTATCTCCTCTGGGCACAAACCTTCGTGTTAGGGCCCGTCAGTTCCCGGCCCTCATCAGCTGCACAGCTATTGACTGGTTTCATCCTTGGACAACTAAAGCCCTGCAGTCAGTCAGCAACACGTTCATCCAAGACATTAAATGCATTGAGGTCAGCATTTTGAAACCACGTCCCATAATTCTTACCATAACAGACAAATTCTAACGAATGATAATTGTTTGTTTTCTGTATATGCCTTAGTCACGTCACATGCTGAAACAATATTATTACACACATACACATATTCTCAGGTATTTTGCAAATGTTTGTCATGCATATTGATGCTCCAAGCCTGTTTAAACTTTAATGACCACCTTCTGATTATTTGAGTGCTGCTGGATTAACTTTTCCAGAGATCTTTCATCATTAATTTTCTGCCGGGGTACTGACAAATTGCTGAACACATGTCTGGAGACTCACTGTGAACACAGCCATATCATTGTTTTCCATCATAGCAGTAGAATGATCACAACCTAAGAGTCATTTATGTTAATGAGAGATGACTGATTAAGCACATAACGACCCTGTAAGGTGGCACAGCTGTCACAACTAGGAAGTGTCATCACATATACGAACATGTGCCAGACTATTACTTCCAACTGATTGTGTGTGTGAATCTGCACATTTGCAGTAGTGATTAGAATTCATTGTATTATTAGGTTTGTAGCTTTAATTGATAATAGCATTAGTTGCAGTTTAAACAATTAATGTATAGAAGTTTGACATGGATAATGGCAGTCATTTAAGCATTAAGGGAGTAAAAAGTGATCAGTGGACACAGGATTTCCAACAGGAAATATTGAGTAAACTTTGTATTTTTACGTTATCTAATTTTTTGTTGTGTTGTGTCCTGGGTAAATTTGAAAATGCGTTCTTCTAAAAATTGGAAAAAAACAAGAAGTCATTAATGTTTGTTTAATCCTTAAGCCAGGAGACCAATAATTGAAATGATCATTTATTTAAAGTTAGAATTGCGCCACCTGCTAACAGTTCTTGTACAAGGCCAATCAATGAACTTCTTTCGCACCTCAACTCAACCCAGTGTGCTTTGTCAAAATGCATTATGCCAGATCTTAATTAATAATGATTTTTTTTCTCCCACTGGCTCTACGATCATTAACAATGGCTTTTTGTGAGTTATGGTCAGGTTTGATGCTCATATTCTCTCCTCATTTGTTTTAGCTTTAATTGATCGCTAACTATGTGATTAATGAAGACTGTGTCTTTGTGTGCCTTGTGATAAATACCTTGTTGGGTTCTAGTTGCACAGCTGTTGTAGACAGTGTTTAGAAAGTTGGAGGATACCAAATATAATGTAAGCAGTGTGCATGTTTTACAGGCTGCATGTCAGTGCTATAAACACATTATTTTCACAGAGGTTTCAAAGTATAATCATTTCAGCTCACTGCACCTAAATTTCAGATTGAGTAAGTCAGGGCCAGCCTAGTAAGATGGCAGAACTTGTAGATGAATTCAAAGTTTATGAAGATAATATTTCAGTTCCCATCAGGTTGGGGATGTTAAACTCTACTCAATCCAGCTCACCCTGCTCTCCCCTCTTCTCACTTGTCTGCTTATTTTTATAGCCTGCCGTCCAAGAATCCATCAGTCTTTTCATGGCCTACGTTCACACCAGTGTCAACCAGGCAAGTGAAAAATACCAGCGCAATGAGAAGAGGTACAATTACACAACCCCCAAGAGCTTTCTCCAGCAAATCACCTTATATAGGAACCTACTGGAGAAGAGCCGTTCTCAGCTTCAACACAAGATGAACCGACTCGACAATGGCCTTCAGAAACTCCAGACCACTGCTGCTCAGGTAGACATCTTTATTCTGAACTTATTCTGTAAATTGCTGCTCTGCATATTCTACTTTTCTTTCACAGGTTGAGGATCTTAAAGCCAAGCTGGCATTGCAAGAAGCTGAGCTTAACTTTAAAAACAAGAATATTGAAACTTTGATAACGAAGATTGGACAGCAAACTGAGAGGGTTAGCAAGAAGAGAGAGGCGGCAGATATGGAAGCACAGAAGGTTAGATGCCTTTCATCACTTGGTCTTCATTGCCATTGTTGGAATAGCATGTTACGCATCTTTCATGTGCTGTCAGCATTGCGCTATTCTTGTTTTTCCACAGGTTTCTGTCATACAGGCAGAAATCACTGCCAAACATAAAGAGTGTGAGAGTGACTTGGCCAAGGCAGAGCCATCACTGACAGCTGCGGTTGCAGCACTGAACACCCTAAACAAGGTGCACAATTTAATCAAATGAAATAAAATTTCATCAAGTCTTTGATCATTCTATTTGGTTTTGTCTGTTTTACTTCATTCTGTTCTGCTCTGTTCGATCTTCCAGGTGAATATTACTGAGTTGAAGGCCTTTCCAAATCCTCCAGCGGCAGTAATCAATGTTGTAGCAGCTGTGATGGTCCTTCTAGCCCCACGTGGACGTGTGCCTAAGGATCGGAGCTGGAAAGCGACACGGGCCTTCATGGGCAAGGTTAAGCTGTCATAATGTGTATCACATCTGCCTGATTAATGTCAAGCTCACGTGTGAGAGGACCTTGATCCTGGGCCTGCCCAACAGCCCTCTAATGCTCACATTACAGCTGGGTGGCTCTATGAATTGAGTTTGTTGAGCTGTGTTTTTTTCTCGTTCTGCTGTTGAATCAGTTTTAGACATAAAACAATGCATTTTGGTTTTTGTTTTTTCAAGGATTTCTTAACTGTTTGTATGCATCTTAGATTTGGATTCAAATTATACAACACTTTTTTACAAGGTAGCTCAGGATACCACTGAAGGTTCTGAAGTATTGTATGGTTTTGTTTTTCTCTTTGTCAGGTGGATGATTTTCTGCAAGCACTGGTGTCATATGACAAAGAGCACATCGCAGAGTCTTGTCTAGCTGTGGTGAAACAGCAATATCTGAGAAACCCAGACTTTCACCCAGATTTAGTTTGGACCAAATCTACAGCTGCTGCCGGACTTTGTGCCTGGACGATTAATATTGTCAGATATTATGAGGTCAGATGGTGCTTTAAACAATCTACTGTATATCTGTTATAAGAGTTTTTTTGAAGGCTTTCTTTATAAATAAGATTAATTTTTGCAGATTTATTGTGAGGTCACTCCAAAGAGGCAAGCGTTATTGCAAGCTAATGCAGAACTAGAGATGGCAACATCTAAATTTCTGGCAGTTCAAACCAAATTGGCAGTGAGTGCTATGTTTTTATACTTAAGTTAATCAGCCTAAAAGCTAGATTTCGTTAATGGTGTCTGATTTGCATGCCTTCTTTTGTTTCTGCAGGATCTAGATGCCAGCCTCCAGAGCCTCACAGCTCAGTTTGAAAGAGCTACAGCTGAGAAAATCAGTTGTCAGGAGGAGGTGACTCGAACCACCCAGACCATAGAGCTGGCCAACCGGCTAGTCAGAGGCTTAGTGGTAAACACTGAGAGAATGGAGAATATGGTGGTGTCATAGGGAATGACCTGGCTTAAAATTTACTGTAAATTTGCTTGGGGCATTCATAGGGCGGTGCTGGTAATCGAATTGCATCAGTAGTCTGGACTAAAAGTTGCAATGTCCTGGCAGGATAGTCTGACAGTTGTATGAGTGGATCAGATGGGTAAATTTTACAGCTTGGCCCAGCAGCATACTGAGGACTTGTGAGATAGGTAGAGAGGGATGGACCACAGAAAACGCATGGCTGAACTGGGCAACTAGCTGGATGAGCAGTTTGCAAATTGAGAAAGGAAGAGAGATTGTAAAAGGGCTACTTAAGCTTTGCCCTCTTTCTGTGCAGTCTGTGATAATGTGTGGACAGACATAGATTGTATTTACTGCCTCTGACCTCTGTGCCACTTATGAATAAAGCATGTTTGTGCTTTTCTGAATTCTGGTTTGTTGAAGGGCTAAATGTATTTATTTATCATTATTAGAAATCTATGTTGTAATGAATTAATATGGCATGTATAAACAGTTCCATAATTTAATGTTAATTTTTTCCCCCATTTATTTGCAAGCAGTTTTTTTTAGTTCTTTTAATTTGTGGTAATGGTAAATAAAAGATGGTCATTCAGTGGCCATTTGGCAAGTTCGACTTTCTTATTCCTGAAAATAAATGCGGTTTGCATGGAACAGCTTGGCTTTTACGCATATCAAGATAAATGTTTCGTCTTTATATCATTGACCTGGAAGCAATAGTGTACAGACTAATAAATCAGGCTTTCTATATTTAATCATTAACTTACCTCAAAGCCTCAACAGCTGTTGGAAATTAACAATGTCTCACCCCAGACTGAGTGATATTACAGGCAATCCATAATGCATTAGAGTAAAATTATAGTGATTTTTAACTGTCTAAGAATTTATTATGTGACATATTCTAGATCCACAGCCCCTTGTAAGAAAATGCCATGTATGATTTATAGTTGCAGGCCATCACAGTCATAGTATTGAAGGTTTAAATAAATGCTAAATTGATGCTTAGTGAATCTCCTGCAAAACTTAGAGAGCTACTGAAAGGGATTTGCCGCTATATGCTTTATTGTGTACATATTTATTAACTTTGTAGAATAAATGGAATGTTAAAATATTTAGGTTGTGCATTTTCCCGACGCACAGATTTGCCATACTTCCTGAGCCTGATGCAGGCTCTTTGTCATTTTTATTCTTGTACTTGTTTATTTTCAATTACATTTGTATTTTCAAAATCTTACTGAAATTGACCAATCCTGTCATGCAGTCTGAGAGAGAACGCTGGTCCCAGGCAATTGTCCAGTATGAGAACCAACGTAAAACTCTCTGTGGTGATGTCCTCCTCACTTCAGCTTTCGTCTCTTACATGGGTTACTTTACCAGCCAGTATCGTACTGAGCTTTTTAACAATGCATGGATTCCTTTCCTTGAGTCTCAAAAGGTGAGGTCCATTTTGTAGCATATTTAAAACTGTAAGTTTTTTCTTAACAGTATAATCTCTGATTTATTTTGTGATCACTTATATCAGAACTTTAACAGTGGTGACATCAGTCTTCTGTTCTTGTTCCAGGTCTCTGTTCCCCTGACAGACGGCTTGGATCCAGTCCTCATGCTTACAGATGATGCCACCGTGGCTGCCTGGCATAACCAGGGCTTGCCAAATGATCGGATGTCTACTGAAAATGCTGCCATCCTGACCACCAGTGAGCGTTGGCCACTCATCATAGACCCACAACAGCAGGGCATCAAGTGGATCAGAAACCTCCTTGGGTCACAGCTGAGAATGATTCAAATGGGGCAGAAAGGGTGAGAGGGCACAGACAGATTTTAATTTTCAGGGAGTGATAATCTTTCTTGCAAATGTGCATGCCCAACCATGCTTGTTTTTCATCGTCACTTTTTTTGCGCAGCTATCTAGATGTGATTGAACAAGCTCTTGTCTGCGGTGACACAGTTATGATAGAGAATCTGCCAGAAAAAGTCGACCCAGTACTGGAGCCTCTACTTGGCAGAAAAACAATTAAAAAAGGAAGGTTAGTACTAAAACGTGTGTTTTGAAGGATCACAAATTTGAAAAAAGTTTTTAATTTAATGTAGTTGTTTTATTTTAAATAGTCCTATTCCTACATCAAGTCAATATGCCCACAATGTGTCCCAAAGTTTCTGTGGTATGAGACAATAAGTGCAGTTTTGCCAGATGGCTGAACTTCACTGAGCTTTGAAACATGAGTAAGACATGAGTGAATGCATTATTATTGCCCACCCTTTAGATTATAAATGAATTTGCTGCACGTGTCCTGAATCCCAGAGGCCAGCATATTGATTGACCCCTCAAGACAGGTGATAGATGTATATATGTGTGTTTATATTCTTTCAGTGTGATGAATATTGAACACCTAAACCTCTGAGTAAAAGCTGAACTGAGGACCATCATGGTTATGTATCAGCTCTCTTATCTCCTAGAAACTGCTGGCTTGTAACACACTAGATTCTTTGTCAGTATGGATCCAAAGAAGCAGTCAATAAGTTTATAACACTGATTGGTGGTGCTTCCATCAAACTAACATTGCTAAATTGACTTAATGCTAATCAAGATAGCTCTGCATGTAGACTATCCTTTGCAGTTGGATAATGTGAGTGTTATTTAAAAGAGGCTACTAATGTTAAATTATGGCCAGCATCAATCATTAAGTCATATATGCCAGTGCAGAACTAATTTTAGATGTATTTGGTAGCCATGATTTCATACCTGATTTCAAATGGCTTCCACTGCTGGATGATGAATTTCACTTTACAATTACAGTGAAGCTGCTTGTGATGAAATTGCAGCAAAATGGGAACTTTTCAAATAACTCAGTTATCAGATACTTTCCGAAAAGAAAAACTGAAAATCCCATAAAATGGACAACTAACAGCATAAATACCAAAAACCACATATTGATGTTCCACTTTGATTTCCCTCTCAGAAATGTTTGCATCTTTCTTGCTCTGATCCATGTATGACCATTAATATTGAGTTTTTGGGGAATGTTCATTGAGCTCTTTTTGAAGTCCTGTCTGTCCAGAAGTAACAATTCATCATAGTAAATCTGATTATAAGTTTATCCCTTGTAGATGACCCACACACTTGTTTATATCGATGATTAATACAACCTGCTGGGGCAGCCATGATGGATCTGGTAGGGCTCCACAGCTGAAGTTCATTAATAATTGGAATGTTGTAGAGTGTGAAGTAATGAATACTAATTATTCCTTTCATGGCTGACGGAAGACTACAAGCCAATCCATCAGCAAGGACTTTAATTTGGTGGAGTAATGGTTCTATCAATAGTACATTAATTCTGGCTTGTGAAGATATAGAGTTGAAACATACCAAGGCCATGAGAACTCTGTGCCGTAAAAATTGGGGCCTTGCTTGACATCGAAAGGGTAATTAGTGATAAATAAAAAGCCTCCAGGTTCATCAAGCCTATGTTAATTTAATTGAAACACAGCAACAGATATGTGTTTGCTGGGACTGTGATAATTCTTTACTGATATTATTTGTGTATGTATTTAAACAGTTCCAAAAGCTGGTTTTGGGTTTTGTTAATCAGCTGAAAAGCTACTACACAAGAGCTGAAATAATTTCTTCATTTCTAAATATTTCTGATGGCCTTTGTAAATCTTTAATTAATCTATTTAATAGATCTACTAGACTAATTTGTGTCCGCTGTTAATAGTTTTTATCTATTTTCTCTTAATACCAAAAAACATTGACATTACCATTTTGAAACAGTATGAAAACAATTCTGAAAAATATCCATATTTTAAGATATATTTCATGTCTCTGTCTTCCTGAGTAAAATGCTTTATGGTAAAACCCATTTGAATGCTTGGGATGTCCAACAGAAATAGTTTGTTTCCATTGAAAAAAGTTTTTTTACTTTTTTCTTATAGCTGTAAAGTATACTTGTTTTGCAGCTGTTTCTGAAACTGTGCATTACTAATTATGCTTAACTTAAGAAGTATCCGTTTGTCATTTCTTTCAACATATGAAAATTTTCTCTATATTGTTAATCAGGTATATCTTTATTGGGGGCAAGGAATTTGAGTACAACAGAAACTTTCAGCTCATTCTTCACACCAAGTTGGCCAATCCACATTTTCCACCTGAGCTTCAGGCCCAGACCACCCTCATTAACTTCACAGTTACTCCTGTGGGCCTGGAGGAACAGCTGCTGGGACGGGTAGTGTCCTATGAAAGACCTGACCTCGAGGCCCAAAAGGTGAACCTGAGTAGAATTTTTTAAAAATTCAAGACTCAGTAAAACACATTTTCTAAAATTTCTACATGTTTTCATGTATCTAGATGCAGCTAACTACACAGCAGAACCACTTCAAGATTGAGCTAAAGAGGTTTGAGGATGAGCTGCTGAGTCACCTCTCTGGTGCCCATGGTGATTTTCTAGGTGATATTTCTCTGGTCGAGCAACTTGAAAACACCAAGAGCATGGCTGCTCACATCCAAACTAAGGTAAAAAATGTTTAAAAAATGTCTGTTTTTCCCCCCTTTTTTAGATACATTTTTCTGGTCAGGCGTCTTTTTATTTTATTATTTTCTTAATGTCACACAACAGCAAGCGCCTTATTTTAATGCATGAGCAGTAAATGATTTGCAGTTAAGAATATGTGTAATGAGAGGGTTTTGGAGCATGACTGAGAGACTAATAGCTCATTTTGTGCAATTGGAACACACAGGTGGTGGAGGCCAGAGAGAACGAGACAAAGATCAACGAGGCTCGAGAACTATACCGCCCAGCAGCTGAGAGAGCATCACTACTCTTCTTCATCATCAGTGACCTCAGCAAGATGAACCCTATGTACCAGTTTTCTCTTAAGGTGAAACCTGAAGTGTTCTCAAAAGGGCACACATCATTTAGTAAATTATTGCAAACACAATCAGTTTCGTGTTGAATTTTATTTTGTCAGTCCATGTCTTGTACCTTGTTTATTGTCCTATATGTTCTATTTCAGAGTTTTATCTCAGTATTTAACAAAGCAATTGAGTGTGCTGAATGGGATGAGGATGTGAGGACCAGAGTGCACACCCTTACTGAAGCCATCACCTATTCGGTATTCTTGTGCACCAGCCAGGGCCTGTTTGAGAGAGACAAGTTAACCTTCTTGTCACACGTTGCTTTCCAGGTGAGGGACTGAGGTCCGCCTCAAAGGTGGGGCCTGCTGTCATTCTCATCAATCAGAGTACTTTTCTGCCCCCACATTAACTTCAATTAAAAGCAGTCAGCAATACCATACGCTGCTATTGATTACCTCTCACACTTTGCTCCATGGCTGCTGTTCAGACAGTTGGTTCTGACAGGGGGGTTGGTTCTTATGGCATAATGCAATTATCTGTCATTCCACCAACTGTTTTCTTTGCAGGAATTGTGTTACTTTGAAGGCTGTCCTTTATGTGGATATTGTGTATTCAATGGCATTTGTCCAGCCCATGAAAGTTAACCCAGTTCTTCTAGAGTTTTACAGTTTCTAGTTGATGACAGAAAGGAAATCACGACTACATACATCATAACAGACAGCTTTTGGTCCTTCCCCTTAGATTCTGCTCAAGCAGGGTCTTATTGATGCCCAAGAATTCCACTTCCTACTGAACTTCCCAGTGGATACGAGTAAAGTTAGTGCAGTAACCTTTCTCTCTCCACATGCCTGGGGAGCCATTAAGGTAAAGTATAAACCATAAACATATGAGGTGAAATGTCTAAAAATGTGATATTTTTTATTCTAATATATCTACTTCAAACTGAGATAACAAAGCCTTACTTGGATGTAGAGCATATCTACGATGGAGGACTTCAATGGACTCGACAGAGACATGGAAAGTTCCCCAAAGGGCTGGAGAAAGATTGTTGAATCGAGTTGTCCTGAAAATGAAAGGCTTCCTCAAGACTGGAAGAATAAAAGTTCCCTTCAGAAGCTCATAATACTGAGAGCACTGCGGCCTGATAGAATGACTTATGCACTTAAGTTAGTAATTAATAAAAGTGCATTCATATTTGTATCAATATTTTGCATAGTGCTAATCTGTTGATGATGTTTCATTTGTAGGATGTTTGTGCAGGAAAACATGGGGTCCAAATATGTGAAGCCTGCTCATTTGGAATTTGAAAAGCTTTACGAGGACAGTAGTCCCACAACTCCTGTGTTCTTCATCCTTTCACCTGGAGTGGATCCACTCAGAGATGTAGAGAAATTAGGTACTACGCATATTTGCTACTTTCAGTACACGTTCAGTGTTATTTGACCATGATAAAAATTGCAAATACACTTTGTGCACAGGTTTAAAGCTGGGATTTTCCATTGATCAGGGCACTTTGCATAATGTGTCCCTGGGACAGGGTCAGGAGGAAGTGGCTGAGAGGGCTCTCAGGAATGCCTCTAAACGGGGACACTGGGTCATTTTCCAGGTAGAGAACTTTGCTACTTACCAGCTAAGTATCTGTATAGATATCAGGCTGCTCTTGGAGCCTTGTTGTACTGCTCCCAGCGATATTATCTCATCTGCTGAGCGAGAGAAATAAACTCAATTTGGTTCAATAAAAGCCATAATTGGCTGGATAAGCTCCATAAATGGCTCCTGTGGAGAGAGACCTGTGGTCTAGTGAAATGCAATGATAAACACATGAAACATAATATGGGCAAAGCAGTTTATTTTAAAATGGCGTAACATGTAATGTTCTATATGCAATTAAAAAAAATTTTGTCAGACAAAAAAAAATCTGACCTAATTTCTGATTTGTTGGGATGGAATGTACACAACAACAATGAAGCTTTAAGCTATTTGGCTTGACCCTTATCTCATTGCTCTTCCTAACAATAAAAAATTGTGTTTTTAATTTTTTATTTGAAATTTTCACACATTCTCTGTTGGAAACTTTTATATATGTTGCTACACAGCATTTTCACTTGATTCTTTTCCTTTTTTATGTACATTTTTCTATACTTAACTATACTTACATTTTCCTGAACATATTCTGGTTCTTTTATTCAGCAGATCAGCATTTTCACAGCTTTTTCACAGAAACAGCTTTTTCTAGTTTGTATAGTGGTGCAGCATTGTCCTGCTCACAGCTATGTGGATATCCCTGGAAAACGTGTCACCTTGTTTCTGTGTAAATGCTGCTCCCAAATGAGATTTGTAAAGCATAATGACACTACCTCATACAGTCACAGTGCCTTGCTTTAAGATTCCTTTCCTTCTCTGGTGTGAAGCAGAAAGCATATAATACCTCCTGATTAGATCTTACATACTGACTGGTTTTACCACAGTTGATATTTCATGTTCGCAAGTATGGCATGTTCTGATACATCCAGATAGACCTGAGGCCGGAGAAGTTGATACCACCTGGGACATGGTCTACATTAGGCTTTGTAGTGTCTTAAATGGCATTTTGTAGTGCTTGACAAAGGTTTTCCAAAGTTATCTATTGTCCATGGTATTGACAAAGGATGATTCTTGATTTGACTTTGATCTGGCATGTTTGTTATTCAGAATGTACACCTTGTGGCTCGCTGGCTGCCATCTCTGGAGGCTCTATTGGACACCGTAGCAGTAAACAGTCATCCCAGTTACAGGGTTTTTATCACTGGTGAACCAGTACAGGGCCCTGAGCAGCACATAATCCTGAGAGGCATATTGGAGAATGCTATCAAAATCACAAATGAGCCAGCCACGGGGATGAATGCTAGTTTGCACGCAGCTCTCAACAATTTATGTCAGGTGTGTGGGGAAAGAAAATATATATATGAAATTAATATAAATAAATAATATAAATTAATTTTATGTTCGGACTTGGGTTAGTAATATGAATTTCTATGATTTACTTATTGTTTCAGGACACTCTGGAAATGTGTTCCAGAGAGCAAGATTTCAGCTCCATGGTTTTTTCCCTCTGCTTCTTTCATGCCTGTGTGACAGAACGCCGAAAATTTGGTCCACAAGGATGGAACCAAAAGTATCCCTTCAGCACAGGAGACCTCACCGTCTCTGTCAATGTGTTGTTCAACTACCTGGAGGCCAACACTAAAGTATTTATATTGCATTACTTTTTAAAATGAGATCAGTATTTCAGAATTTTGATTCTCCATTTAACTAGTTTAATAAGAAGAATAACTTTGATTTGACTCTAAAAAATTTAGAGAGGTAATGGTTTTAGAAGTGTCATTATTGTTAGACTGGGATGTTGCATTACCACACAGTGTCTCCAATTATTTCTTAAAACCTTTTGTTCCCATGTTATTTGTGAAAAATGTTAATTCCCATCTTTTTTTCAAATTTCCTATAACTAAGAACACACAACCTATAATTTAGCTTTATTTCACAAAGACAAAAAATCCATTCTTTTGGCGTTGCTATGCTCACAACTCCTAATGCATTTCTTTTAGTACTCCTATTACTCTGGTCATAACCAATTACATCTCCAAGGTATTCTGCCCTCCAAAAACGAATGTCCTTCATTATGTTAACCAAACAGTAACCTGTATGTGCGTATACAGAGAATTCATTAGGGGGGCAATGAAGCGTTATCCTAAATGTAATTACATGCAGCCAATGTGACAGTTCACAACGCTACATAAGTGATCACTGCAATTAGAGCTGATGAAGGAAGCAATTTGCAAAACAATACAGGTACAAATGATTGTGAACCTACAGCTTTTGTAATTTGTTATGAATCACAGGTTCTTTTCTTCCTCCTTCACCCTCACGGATCACAATCTCATGCCGAAGGAAAGACTCCTCTGCCATACATCTGATCAGTTTGTGTAAAAAGATACAATTTTCATAAAGTTCACTTCAGTTCTAACTATTCATACAAGTTATTTGGGATGTGATCAGAAACTTCTTTGAACTCATTTGAAATCATTAATGAGATTGCCCTTCCTGTAAAAAGTTTATATTACATTGTTATGCTTGTAGTCAGATGTTCCTCTTGTCTTGTTTTCATGATGGGGTGTTAGTCATCAAACTAAATCTGTAGCAGTCGATGCAGGTGCCCTGGGAAGACCTGTGCTATCTTTTTGGAGAGATCATCTATGGAGGACACATCACTGACAACTGGGATAGAAGGCTATGTAAAACATATCTACAAGACTTGATGCATACAAAAATGGTAAGTCAATAATAATCCGATTACCTTAATGTTTTCAATGTAATAATTTTCACCAAAACTGGCATATTTGAAGTTGACCTTACTAAAGCTCAGATCATTTATCAAAATGATATGACAATATGGATTTCCACAATACCAAATTTGTAAAAAGAATATCTTCAAATCTTTGCTGTATGTCTTCATTTGTTTTTAAGGTAAAGGGTGCCCTCTTGGGATCTAAAACTAAACTGCAGTTCTGCACTTAAAGTTATTGTGTGTTCCATGCCCTTTTTATCCACAAAATGTACATTCAGTTTAGCTGCAAGGTGCTGCGTCAAATCTTCTATGTTAATTCAGGTCACTTACTAGTTAAACTGCCACTGATCAAACTGAAAAGTTATATTTGCTGCCTTGCATGGAAACCCTGACCTTGATTACTTTTTTCTGAAAAAACTATTGTTGTTGAAATGTTCAGTTGGATCTTCATAGAATCCTCAGTATTTTAACAATTTTATTCTTTGTGTTCTAAACCCTTAACTCATAGTTTGAGGCTGAGCTGTCTCTGTGCCCGGGTTTTCCGGCTCCTCCATTCTTGGACCTCACCGGTTACCACAGTTACATTAATGAATTTCTCCCCCCCGAGAACCCAACTTTGTACGGTCTCCATCCAAATGCAGAGCTTGGGTGTCTCACTGTAACTTCAGGCAACATCTTCAAGACTTTATTGGATCTGCAGCCACACGACTCTATCAGAGGGGACGGGGCTACTCAGAGCATGGAGGAGAAGGTGTGGAGACGAGCTGCTACAATACAAAGAAGGAAATGTATAACCATAATTTAGCCTTATTATCAAGTTGTTGTTTTTATTCCTCAGGTTATGTCTATAGTTGATGATATCCTTGAGAAACTACCTGATGAGTATAATGTGGCAGAGATGATGACAAAAATAACAGAGCGAAGCCCGTACACATCAGTGTGCTTTCAGGAATGTGAGCGCATGAATCTTCTCATCGCAGAAATAAAGAAGTCCCTCACTGAGCTGAATCTTGGTCTAAAGGTAAAGTTTACTGTGACACATAGTAAAGTAATGACAGTGGCATTATATTGCAACAAAGTGTTTCTTCTCTATCTACAGGGAGAACTCACCATCTCGTACACTATGGAGACTCTACAGAATGCAATGTTCAATCATTTTGTCCCAGATTCATGGGCCAGACTTGCTTTTCCCTCCACTAAAACACTGACCCTTTGGTAAGTTATCAGTTGTCAGTTGTGTGTATTTTTTTACTGAACTTACCTTCATCATGTCCTTTTTTATGCTGTGGTTATTGTGTGTTATCTTTCTGTCTATCTTTGTCTTATCTTTACAATACTCCACTGTAACGATTTGTCGTTTATTTTAAAGGTTGAATGACCTGATATGCAGTTGTCATGAACTAGACAGCTGGACTCAAGACTTTGTTCTACCTGCTGTTGTTTGGCTCTCCGGACTGTTTAACCCACAGTCTTTTCTCACTGGTGAGATTCCAGCCAATGAAGATGATGACCCAACAATTTCAGTAGCAGCAGAGTGAGAATTAATCACATGCACTCATATTTCACAGCTGTGATGCAGAGTATTGCTCGCAAGTATCAGTGGCCCCTGGACAACATGACTTTGTCTGTGGATGTAACAAAGAAAATGAAAGATGATTTTGGACATCCTCCAAGGGAGGGAGCCTACATCCACGGACTCTTCATGGAAGGTCAGAATGAATTTACAAAATAAATCAATAAATAAAAAATCCATCCTGTGGATCTTGTATTAAACACAAACTTTACCCTGTTTTGGACAGCATTTGAATGTTGGGGAATATGTCCTTTGCCATTTTAGGAGCACGTTGGGACACTCAGTCAGGCGTCATCTCAGAGGCAATCTTGAGGGATCTGACCCCAGCTATGCCGGTGTTGTATGTTAGAGCGGTTCCTGCACAGGAGCAGGAGCTAAGGAACACCTTTGAATGTCCTGTGTATCGCACCAAACAGCGAGGGCCCACATATATCTGGGCCTTCCACCTCAGAACCAAACAGCCTCCATCCAAGTGGATTGTGGCTGGAGCTGCATTACTCTTGTCTGTGTGAGACAGAGTAGAAATCAGACTATTTTTTGGTTCTTTTTTTTTTAGAATGATAGAAAGTTATGCAAATATTCCAAACTTTTTTTCTAAGTGCTAATCATGAATAATCCCAGTCCAGTTTAATTTGAAACTTTCTTCCATTTTTGTTATATTTACTAGGTGCAGCAATGATAGAATTTTAATCTAATATTTTCGCAATGATATTTTTATGAACAGTGGAAATGTAGTGTTTGTATATGCTTTTGAACAAATAGTAAGGAAAATAAGTTAGTGATGGTTATCAGACAGTGTTGAACCTGTTGTGTGTTTGCATGACACTGTTGCATGTCTCCCTTGAGTCTGTCCATGATTTGTTGTTAGCTTATGTCTCCATTTTAGACCATGTAATTCTGGATAGGGAGCATATTTTATCAGAAGGTCAAGATTAAAAAAGCTCTCTGGCTGCCCTCTGCTAACTGAATGATACACAATGCTGTCTGGAGGGTTCCCGAACCAAATTCCCAGGAGATGATGTGCATGGTCGCTATTGACTTTTAAATGAGGTGCATTTGACATTGACCTTTTGTACGGCAGAGGCAGAATACTAACAGACTAGTGTAATTCATTCAGCTGAGCCTGTTGGAAAAACCCATTCAAAGACACTGATAGCTTTGTATGAGAGAACAACTCATTAGATTACACATCCTTTATCTTTCTCCTCTCTCTGTTAGCATCTGATTCACTTAATCAGAACCAAATAAAACCTTTAACTTTGAACGACTGTAGAGAAAGAGTAACCTTATCTAGAATGTTGTCTTTTTAAACCAATTTAACAAAGGTTAATGGAAAAGTGAGAAAATTCTCTCTGATTGTAAATAAATGCTGCGGGAGTTCACTGCAGCTCCACAGTCAGTTTCCTGTTGGACAGCTTTGCAATATATATACCTCAGGCTACATTTACTCTTCAAGATAATAACTCTGTTTCTAAATATGTTTTTAAATAGAAGAGTAAAATTGTATTTTAATTTTAACAGCAAACAAGGCATGTGCCGTATTCCTTACTAGAATAAACAAATGTCACTGTGGAATACAAACTACATCCACTGAATCCCACTGGTGTTTTTTGGGGGGAGGTGGGGGAGGTCAAATCAACACTCTTCTCAAACAAGATTTTCTCCAACGCTAATAACTGTTGTGTTGCTTTTAATTCCTCCCTGCAGCCAAAGTGGCTGCAGACAGACAAATGGAGGACAGAAGATTGATTTAACGCATTGTATTGTAGGGGGAAGTGAAGAACCCGTCTTCCTGCAAATTCTCTTCATCTACATTCTCTTCCTCTCATTAGCAAGTCGCAGCAGCTAGCCAGTCATTTGTTGACAGGGAAATGATACAGTGCTGGCAGTGTTTAGGAGGAAATGGCAGGGTGCGAGGCCCAGAGCAGCAGGGGTCGTGCCACAGATAAGTCATGTTAAAGGCCGAGCAGGACACCTGGTTAAAGGCAAAAAGGGCATCCAGGTCACACCTCCCTCTCACAGCAATGAAAGCTAACATTATTTTGGGGTACATTTTTATCCAAAAATGATTTACATGAGTATGTTAACTGCAATTTTAACTAAGAGAGAAATCTGACTTACAGCATAGTAGTGTTTGGGGGAAAGTATAAGAAACAAATTAGGCAAACAACCTACAAGAGTTACGAAAGTTATACTTGTGCATTGGAGATTTAGAAATCATATACTTCAATAGATTGAATTGGTAAACGTTACCATTACCAGTGTGAACGAACGCATTGCTGGTCTTATTATAAGAAGAGGTTATGTAAATGAAAAGCATTTTAATACATGCACAGATGGAAACAGTAGACGGCCTTTAGTTTTTCATGTCATACAGACCAGGCAAAATTTACTGAAAATATCAAACAGAAATCTTATAGAACAAATAAATAATTCTAACATAAATATCGTATATATAGTATAAAGATAATCAACTGTACATTGTTGATAATAAAGCTGATTTTAACATAAAGAATATGCTAAAGCACATTCTTTCCATAATGGTGGCCTATGAATTCAAACTATACAAAGAAAACTGTCCAGAATTCAGCATTTCAATTCACAAGATCATGTTGAACTGCTCTGATTTAAACAGACGAAGAACAGTCTGTACATGGCAAATACACTTTAAAGTTGTACATGAGAGTTTGACTACAAACTACACATGAGCAAGTAACTTTTTTTAATCATATTCTTTTTGTACAGAAGGTGCTCAATGTGGCATTTGATTTAGCTATTGCTTCTCACCCACTAAGGCTCTTTACCTACAGTATTAAAACAGACCTCTTCTTTACAGTCCTTTATATTTGTCAAAATAGAAGCGACCGACAGTCCTTTTGCATTTTGTTTAGTTTTCTGCGTCACACAAGCCAAAACCGCAAGTTGTTTTAATCAACACTGAGCTGCAACACTGCAATTGAGCTGCTTCCTTTGTCTGATTGTCCACAGCTAAACTCAGTGCTGTCAATGTGCTAATGCTTTGAAAGAAGATGAGAGATTAGCATTTCATAACAAGTGATTTGGCTCTAACATGGCTACTCAGAACTCACACCCCAATGAATCACAGCGTATTGCATGTTCACTACTTTCCTGCACTAATACATTCAGCTTTGTTTAAATCATCTATTATACTGCACGGGGGAATGGAAATACTGCTATGAAAGGAATACACAGAAAATGATCTCTAGAAATGTTAAATACTTAATCAATGTTCCTGATTCCTTCATCTTTATATACCAAGACTTCCACTTGTGCGTAAGCTGTCCAGCTTTTGTTTCAGGAATCGCTAAGTTCTGTAGCAGGATAAATAATGGGTGTCAAAACTCTTTGACACAGATGTGTGGGAGAAGGACTTATCACCAGAAATATTCTTTGGTTAAAATTGCGAAATAAACCTACTGGCAAATCTGTGTCACACTTTCTGAAAATACCACAAGGTACATCATGAAACAGTCTTAGTTTGTATGTGATGAAGGTGACCAAAAAGACTATGTCCTTAGAGGGAATTATCTTTGTTGCTTAATACATTTTGCACACAGTTTCTTTCAGGCTGATCATTTCTCACAGAGGGAAGCTGCTCTTTGCAGCGTGCCATGAATAGAGCAGCTTTACACTTGGGAGCTTCTGCCATCTGTTGGACAGGAAAGGAACAACAGCATCGTTGGCCCTTGTGAAGAGATAGTTGATTAACGTCTGTGGCTGGAGGCCTCTGCTGTGGCTGCATTTAAACTGCTGGCACTGCAGCTCAGCAGTAACGGGGGGTTGTTGGAGCATGCTCTCAGCTGCTGTGGGCCAGTCTCTGTTGCACATCTATAAAAAGCATTTTTTTCAATCGTGAGATCCGTCATGAACTGTGTCTTTTTTGCTCTGTGGTGATGGTGTTTTCCTCCTGTGCTCAGCCAGATTTCTGCTCCTGTGATTGCTGACCGAGTCCTGAGCGATACCTGATGATACAGCGATAGGGTGTTCCTTGGCAGTCCCACAGAGTGGCTGACAGAGAGGGAAAGAGCTTTTCACTACGCCCGAGGCTCCAGCCTGTGTGACAATTCAAACAGGGTCTGCTGATTGTCAATGATATGAAGGTAGTTGATGTAGGCTCGCACCTCTGAGCTGCTTTTCTGGGTAATTCCATTTCCTAGAAGTAAAAAACAAGTGTTTTAGTTCCAAAATGAGACAAAATCGATATTGTGGATTCTAGAAAATCTCCATTATGGGTTCAGCTAAGATTTCAGAAATGCACAGATTTCACGTTAGTGTATCTTAAAATGGCCCACTTAAAAAAAATGTAAGTATGAAAGTTAACATGTCTGTCTTAGATTTTAAATATTGGGTCACTCTTATCTTTAATACCAGGACACATGAATGAATGTGAGTGTTCTGATAGCAATGCTGTTTTAGTTTTAGATTTTACTGTTACCCTTTCATTATTTTACACAGTTTTAATTATATTTATTATGTATATATAGTTATTATGAGAATCTGGTATAGTTGTGATCCAGACACTGACCCATGGGATCTTTCTGACACTGCCTGATGAGCCTCTCCATGTCTGCTATCATGTGCTGGAAATAGAGGACATTCATTAAACATTTAACAGTCAGCACCTCTTTATGTCACATGAGTTCTGTGCTGTGACCCACAGTGCTACCAAAACAAATAAATGCAATTACACACAAACTTACCAGCTTTTCAAAATTGACCAGGTTATCCTGAAAAGTCTTGTTGCCTTCGTGAATGAATGTAATATCTAAAACACAAACATTTAGATTTTTTTATGAACAGTTGGCATTTTTGGTAAACACCACTTTGTCATGAGATATCACATTTATGTTGCAGAACACACTCTAGTGTTTTTTGTGTGTACTAGATTAGCTGAATATGGAGCAGACCTTTCAGAAGCAGAGGAAGAAAAGGAATCTTTGGAGCTTTCATCTTCCTGAAGGAGTCCCTGTACGCCTTGTGGTTCAGACTTGGATCCTGTGAAGACGTTTCCAAATGAGTGTAATCCTCTGGGGGTGCACTGTGTGTGCCTGTGCATGCAGGCATTGTCAGGGCTTACTTCCGGCAGCATTAGTCACTAATGATCATGTCAAACCCCTGATGTTTTGACGTGCTGTTAGCACTGAAGCATCTGTTTGTTTAAGTCACGCATACGTATGGTTTCTGTTCCCTGTTAGCTGCATTGTCAGTTGTCGACACTTACCGTGACAGTCTCCAGCTCTGAAAACAGCTTCTTAAATTTCCCAGGAATTTTCTGCAGAGGACATTAATGTGACACTTTAATAGAGCATAAACTGGTAGGGATTTATGTAAAAAAAAAAAACAACCACTGACCTCCCATGTCTGAGTGAGGCGGCCAACAGCTGCAGCATTCAATCCCATAATGATGGCAAAGAAACAGTTGAGGTTCCTTTGTGCTTTACAGCTATAAAAGAAAAAAATGGATGTAACCAATTTTAGTCTTGCGCCACTAGAGGGGGCAGAATTCTCATGAAAATCTACCCCCTCTTCACATTGCAGCCGTCTGACAAGCCAGTGCTCTCACAGGACGGTTGCAATCAATACATTTCCAATCACAGTGAGATGTGAGCAAATCTACTGACTGGGCAGCAATCTTGATGAACTTCTTGATGAGCTGGACCCTTTTGCAGAGCACTGGGCACAGAAGCACCTCAGTCATCACCCACAGCTGGACTTCATTGCAGCGCTGCAGCAGCAGCTCCAGCTCCAGGGTGTGCCTACTGCAGGCGTGGCGGCTGAAGGTGAAGTAAACCAATTCTTGCTGAGAAAGAAGGATATATGATAAGAGATTAACAAAAAATATCATGTTGCTGCAGCCACAAAGGAGAAAAACTGAAAGCTGTGAGGCATACCTCGTGCATTGAATCAAAAATGGTCCAGTCAAACTCTGTAAGCGCAACAGCGATATCCCATGTGTTCAAACTCAACATCTGAGCTGTCCTCTGTTGCAGCTGTGAGTCGTTTGTGAACGGGTTCTGAAAGGGTAAAACACTGTTAGCGTTTTCCACGCATTCAGCTTAAGTCTTAAAGACAGACATAAATACAAACAGACAGGTGACCTTTAAGAGGCTTTAAGCATTTTGACCAACTCAGCTAACTTGCAGGTTGCAAATCTGTCGGCCTGTGTATTTTTGTTTGCATAAATTTGGTAATCCTCTGTTATTTTTACATCCTGGTGTCCTATTTTACTGATTTAAATAGTTACATTTCACCTTCACTCTTTTTGGTTTACTTAATTTGGTCATGGAAAGTGTTTTTATTTCTTGTCATTTTTTCTATTGTGACTTTTTTGACTAATTTATTTTTGCAATCATGTATCCTGCCTGGAAACAAGCCAAGCCAGAGGTATGTGTATTGCTAAAACAGCAGAAGTATCTGTGTCAAATAAACCAAGAGTAATCAGTGATCCATCCATTGCACATTTTTGCAACATTCTTACCAGGACTTCACCGAGGTCTTTCCTGCACGCATGCAGCCTCCCCACAGGCCGTAAAGAATTGGAAAAAACTTTGTCCTGAGGCTGCAAAAGTAGTCTGCCTGTAGGGAGGAAAACATCACAAATAGAAGACCATTACAGATCGGTCAGGGAGCCTCTAAGCAGCTTCCAGTGGTCAGAAATAAGACCAGAAAAAAGTCAGTAATTCTTTTGAATGGGGAATATATTTTTGTTGATAATAATTCCAATTTGGACTAAGATAGCCAAGTCGATACATAAACAAACTAAGTGTAATTCATAAAGAAAAAAATGTCAGTAAAATTTCATTAGAATTAGTGTGTTTACTGTATTCACCATATGAGCTGCACTGGTTGTCTGATTTTAAACTGTAAAGCTCAGTGTTGCTCACTGGAAACTGTCATCATGCAGAAGCAGCAGCCTTATCTGTCAGACATCAATGCCTATAATATGTACTGTACCACCTAAACGGTGCATGTGGTGCTCTCCTCGGTCTGTTGGATGTTTACCTCCAGGATAAGTGATGGCCACAAGAACCAGTTGTCCATTAGGGACTTCCATTCTTTCCGCCACTACCTGCAACAGCTCCTGGGCCACAACTTCAGAATGGACCCTCATACTTAGGTAAGAGTCCATGGTGACATAAATATGACACACCACTGCAAAATGGATAAATATTGTTTTATATATCTGTATCATGAAACACACAAGCAGCATTTCTGAAAGCATTTCTCCCACCAAACAACATCTAGCATTTTTAGCTGTCAGAGGTGTTGTGATGTATTATGGTTAATCAAACAGTCTGTTTAAATGGGAGGTAGAGATGACATTGACCTTTTTCATAATTAAAAGCAAAAGTAATTACATCTCGGATTGTGTTCTGATATCTCACCTATTATACCTATTCTTCAACTACTGTTCTGTAGTTTCGCTTAGGTTGTAAGTATAGTGATATATGAAAAGCTGTTGAACTTTTTTAAGTTCAACAGCACGGAAGGAGAAACATATTTATATCTAGATTATAACTGAAGTCTTTGTATTTTCTAAAATGTCCTCCAACATTATCAACAAGTCTGCTGCACTACTTACTGCTTACTGACATTCAGCAGAATGACAAACGGATTCCATTCTGGAAAAAATACTTTATAGGTCATAAAGTAAAACAGGAATCTGGTTTACTGTATATTTCTTCCATTCCCTGGATCTCATTGTTTCACAGTTTAGACCTAATGACTCTTTTATACGGGGGACAATGTGTTATGGACTGTCAGAAAAAGGTCACATTTTATGACTACCTTCATTGGCCCCTTTCTGTGTCCTTCTGGAGTACAGCCCGTTCTCTTTCAAGCTCAGCTGATGGGAGAGAACTTTGCTCTAAAAGAAAGGAAATGAGGGGATAATGACACACATTCATTCTGCCTGAGAACATGAAGCATTTCAGTTTGAACTCCAGAACAATGACTCCAGCAGGGACAGTAAGAGTATAGTGATTTTGACATCTGATTTTGACATCAGCTCTCGTCAATAAGGTCCTTTAAGCATAGATGTTGTAAAGAGTGTGCAAGATTAATTGTATTACCTTTCTGTTAGGTGAATAATCATCCAACGTGCTAGAAAAGAAGAAAAAAGGTTGATGCGTCATCACATCCACGTGTATCACGTGAAGCGTTCCTCAGAGAAATATATAAACACAACAAAAAATCCCATGAAAGCTACTGTATATGCTGGGTTAGTTCCAGAGAGCAGGTTGAAAAATCTATGAAACTAGTCAAACCTAGACTTGCAGAGATATGCAATGTGACAGGTTTCCAAAATTAGATGCATTCTGTCAGATGATGGAACCCTGTGGGTATGTTCCAATTGCCCCGAAGTTCCATGTGAAAATGAGTGAACATGATATTCTTCCATGTAAAGTAACAGAACATCTAAATGCAAAGCAAACTGTTTACTGTGTTAGCAACACTGAACCATCTGTTCTTAATTTAAAAGCAAGGGTGATAATATCCAATAAATTGACGTTTTTCCTCTAATTTCTATGATCGTGACGCTTTTTCACTATCTGAAGAATGCACACAGTAATGTTTATACTCCTATCGTACATAATGAAAAAAGCTTTTACCCCCCACACAGTGCAAGTTGTTTCCATTGTCATATACGATATATAATTAAACTACAATTAAACTTTTATAAACATTGTTTATCCTTTACCAGAATTATAGATACAATAAACTATTATAGCTGCTGATCTTTACTTATTATATATTAGATGCATAAGTTGTGTGGAAAAATCTCACTTGGTCAGAGGATATCATTTTATCCAGTGATGCTTTAGTGCATCCTCATTTGAAAACCAGAAACACAAGAGAAAGCTAGCTAAAGAAATGTCTCCTCCCTTTATCCCGTTGGTATGTTCTGATTGCTTAAGAGCTCCATGTGAAGGGAACAAAACATGATATTCTGCCACGTGCATGTACTGTTACATACAAATAGTCGCTGATCTCTGAGCCTATAAACAGTGTAAAGAGAATTTTTGTATATATATACACACAAAAAGCTCCTCTGCTGTGTTCAGTCCGTCACTCATGGAGAGATTAAAGTGCTTAGTAGATTTTAGATGTTCCAATGTGATCCCTGCATTTAATCACCCTTTTTTTCATCAGTTAGCCCTGGCCAGCATGATGGATGGGCCCGTGTCCATTATCATCCCTCAGCTTTTACAGGGCTCTGCATCACAATAGGCATGTTGGCACAAAGCCCGCCCTAGGGGATCCCTGCTCAGACACTGGAGTCCCCCCGTCAGTGAAAATCTGATTCCCTCAGTCAGTTCTGGAGTAATACCACATGAAGATAGACTTCAAGCAAACAATAAGAGCATTGTTTTTGTTGTGAGATCTCACTATGATGTGACTTGTTCTTTTTGCACAAAGGCCAGATGGAAACTGATAGGAGGCCTCTGACTATTAAAGATGGCACCTTTTGACTTGGTAGCAGATTTTCACAAAGCAGTCAACCTTGTCTTCCTCCTGGGTGGGACAGGTTGTCGAATGCTCATAAATACAAGAGTGTGTCAGTTGATAACACCCACACGTACAGTGAACTGGTGTAATGAAGTGGGTGTTGTGGATTTTCCTTCCTGGACATAAACAACGGATAGGGCAGAGTCAGACTTGAGGCAGCAGAGTCAGACCGTATTAACCACACAGATTTCTAATGAGTGGTCGGTTGGAGCGTCCCCTGGGGAGAAGCTGAGTTTAGAAGGTTAAGGAGGGGGTGGGGGTGTACGGGTGTGGTGATGTGACACAGGGTGGAGTGATCTGTAACGTTTTATTAAAAGCGAAACAAAAATGGAAAGAAAAAAGGCTCAACTTATGCAACATGTAGAAGGTCAGCACTGAAATTATGAGAGAAGCTGTACATGTTTTTTGCAAATCTATTAGGAACACACCTTCAAACATAAGAAATGTTTTCACTTCAAATTTTGTGTTTTAAATTCTTGTTTGTCCCAATCATGTTGCGAAAAGTCTCTTTGAACAATTTACAAGATTGCTGATTATAAAAAAAACAACCTATGTATATATACATACATATGTATAGTTTGCATTTCCATTTCCAGTGAATACTAGAAGAAAATACATCACCATTTGACCCCAAGAGGCCATGTTTTTTAAATGAGTATCACACAGTGGCATGACACCCCCACCCCCCTCAGAGAGCAGGTGCCTGCATCTTCCTCAGGCTCTGGTCCCTGCTGGATATAGGAGGAACAGATGTTCTCGTACAATGGCCGGGCCACGTCATTATGACCACAGTCAATGCTTGTAGTGTCTTTGACTGTTGCATGGTTCTGGTTCTTATGACTTATTGTTGTGCCATCATGATCAGAACTTCTGCTTAGCTTACAAGCTCCAACAAACAATGTCCAAATAACACAGACTTTCTCCATCCGCTGTTGACACATCCCATGTTAAGTTTTTCATTACGTTCGAATGAGTGCAAATTCAAATAAAACAACCTCCTTTTGTAATGTTTGGGGATTTTGTTGGGAAATCTAGAGAGGATAAAGAGAGAAGGTCTATAGATACCTGGAACTTTTACGCCACTTTTACAATAAATGTGATGAAATGTATTCAGCACTGCCCCCTATGAAAAAGGTTAGTATTAAGGACGTTAAGCTGCTTTCGATAGAATTTTGACATTTCATACTGTTCTTTTCATTTCAGCAGCCCAATTTAAGATTATATAATATAGTTTGGAACCTTTCCTAACAATAAAAAAAAGGCTATTGCATTGAATGTCCTGATATTTTCCCCCTCTTCCTTGTTATCTGTCTAATACTGCTTGAGGCGACCTCTTTTCGCTTCATCCTAAAGGACATCTCTCTGATGCATTTTAGATGGTTTCTTTTAGCTGACACTCACTTATCATCTGCACTACTTCTTTAGAGAACAATGTGCTGAATTCATGCATACAGCCTGATACAAAATCTGTGAATTCTGTCTTTTGAGACCATGAGCTGGGAACTGAGAACGGATTCTAAGATGGTGATACTGACAGAGTAAAGCAATAAAAAACAACATCTGTAAATCACATAAAATCCAGAGAGTTTGTGACTAATTCTCAGAATATCTGTGTTTCCTTTGTCCTATTTTTGTGATTTAAGATTTTCAAAAAAACCTGCTGACCTTCATATTTTTGAACATAACACCCCACAGCATAGTAATTACTGAAAGGATTCATTGATGTTAGCCTAAAAAAGGGTTCTGATCAGAATAAGTCGTTCTTTGTTCCCAAAGGCTCCTCTCAGAGCTCTAGCAGTCATCATTCTTAATGGATATTGTACACAACCAGACATGATCAGATTTTCCTTTTTATAGATTTTCAAACGACTGCTCATATTGAATTACTGTATCTGTATATCCATCAAATGATGATGATCATATGGTCACTCACTGTCTGCGCTGCAGCTGGTAGAGTTTTTGCAGCTCCCCCATGTCCTTCTCCAGGCCCGGGTGCTCATAAAGATCATCCAACACGTAGCGATACAGAGTCTGGAACAACATGCCAGCTTTCATTTTTCCCATCTCACTTGGACACACTGTTTCCACCCTTTTCCGTCCATGCTGAACAGCTTGTCCTACCTTCATGAAGAGTTTGACCTGTTCGTCTTCTCTCAGGAAGTCTTTACACAGAGACATCCACTGCGACACCAGGTGCAGGAGTTTTTGTTTCCTCTCCAGAGCTTCCCTCCGGTCCTCTTTTCCTCTGTGCCGCTTAGTGCAATAGGTGGAGTTTGGTTAAGGATTAAATGTGCTCACGTCAAGTGCAATAAACAGTCCAGCATGAATAAAATGAGCCAATATGTTGACTGTGTGATCAGGTATACCTGTGAGGTATAGAGCCGCTCCACATAAAAAAAAAGCATTGGTATTTTTTTTAATGAAGCACCATCTCTAATTGCATTATCATGAAACTTGCCTAGTATAGTAAATCTGTGAGATACAATGTTCAAGGATATTGCCCCAGCAGAGCTTGGCATAAATCGCTGGTAGACATGAATACTGGGTACGTGAGAAGAAAATCATCCAGAAGTGTATCTGCAAAGAGAACAACATTCATGATAACGGATAAAAAATAATTAAGATACATATTTTGCTAATATAACTTTGAAATTAGTTCTTGGTCATGAAACAAAACCTGACGAAAGAAGCATAAAACAAGCTTAAATCTGCACAAACACAGACTAATTATTTCTGCAGGATGCTGAAGGGGACGAATGCAACTGACCTCGGCAACTGCGTGATTAATGCCTGCAGAGCTGCACACACAGCAAGGCTTTTCTTTTAATTCAGTGGTCCCAGTTGTTCCTGTTCCACCTTAATAACATGAACAGAGCTCATTTTTTACTGCCAAATATTACTTAACATACACTAAGCAGACGTCTCGCAACGTGAGAGACCTCTCTATGGCAGATTTCTGTTTATCTTTTTAAAAGGGTTTCAGATCCATTTTGATCAAACAAATTCAAACAACCCTTTCGGTGTATTATCTTCAGTCAAACATATTGGCAAGTGCAGGCTGCATCGCTGGAGATAAGCCAATGGTGTTAATGTTCCAGTCGTCTCCCTCTGACCTCAGATAAAGTCTATTTTATGTTATTATCTTGCTCACAGAGAAGCAATCTAACCAAACTTCCAACATTCTTATTAGTTTTTGGGGTAAAATGCGCTGTTGGTGCATCTACATTTATAATTCATTCCCAAGGTTTCACATGGAGGAGTGTTTCTGTTAACGTTAAAAAAAAACAGGTCGAACAAGACTCCTTCTAGCTCCCCTAAAATGAAATGATCTTATATTTTGCCATTTTATTCATGTTTGAGCATTAACTTTTAAATAGTTTTTCCGCTGTGTTTGTAATATTTCACATAAAGATGTTAATGAAAAATAGAAAAGAGAGTGTTAGACATAATGCCTGAAAAGCTTTACAAATCCTATTACAACCATCTTCCTCTCCCCCTTCTGTAAGTGTGCCTCACTCCCAGAATTGTAAATTGTTCCCTTTAATTTCACACTGGTTTCCCAGAGCTTTTGTGCACGTTCTGGTCCACCGGACTCCCTGACATCATTATGTTAATCCGTTCAGAGCAGCTGTGGATGCATCACTCAATGCTTATTAGCGGTCACTCACTCATGCAGCATTCATGCACATATAGCATTCATAGAGACATTAGTAAGCCTGAAAACAACAGAAGAAATCTCTAACCTTCTCACATACTGTAGGATTTTACTGTCACTCAGACGTTCCATTTGCATCACTCAAACACTGTGCTAAACACGTGTGCATTTTGTCCAAACTATCTTACTGTAATTGGTGTTTTTCTCCAGGTTTTCTACTCCTAAGGTTGTACATTTTACAAGGTTAAATATGTTAGATTGTTATATAGAATGGAGCAGCAGAAGTTCGATATGTCATCAAACCAACGCTCAGGCTGGTCTGATTTGTGATCCGTCATTTCAGATCCTATTTGCGGTCCTTTGTCTGAGGAGCTGTTTTTTAAAGCACAAAATATGCTGTAGACTGCTGTTAGTACTACCCCACCCATGGTTCTGATCCTGTGTACGGATACCTCAACGCACTTAGCTCCCTATTTTATGGAAATGACAGGGATTAATCTAACTCAGTGTAGTGTGAGATCAATCAATTCGCCATTCAACCTGTTAATCTCTATTCACATTAATCTGTGAGGCTTTTGTAATAAGCACGTACACGTGCCACCCGTTTACTGAAGAACCCACAAGAGCATTCATCAAAGGTTTTTTGAAGAGCGTGAATTTTATATTCTTTCACATAATGTGATGTTTTTCCACTAAAAATAAGCATCATCATCTCCTAACGTGGTGCTTTTGTGAAAATAGCTGGAAAATCCCCTCTTAAGATCACAAATGGCCCATTTCACGTCTTTCAGAGTTGCCAACAAGAATCAATAGCTCCACTAGAATCTGGGCACAGAAGAGACTGCAATATTGTGTGAATGCTAAGGAAATGTCAGCAAATCAAACATTTAAAGAGCAGTGGGTAGCCTATGCTTTTCCTTAAGCTTGCCCATGGTGATTTCAGAAGGATGAGATCTCTTGCTGGATGACAGTGTTGTAAACTGAGTAACTCTGAAAGCAAATGCTAAACTGAGGAAACACAACAATCTGCAGCAAAAATGCTGTCCTGCTGTTGCACATTTTGAAATCATCCTTCACAGTCAGAGCAAAAACAGCAGCACTTCTGATATAGAAACAATCACTTTGATGAAGTCAAAATATCATGTTATTGTGCTTCTGCTGAACTGAACCTCCATGGACCGGCTCAGCAGCTGCTTCTGTACATAAAACAGCTTCTGGACTCACAGCGAGTCAGACTACTAAACATCACAGCCTGCACTTCAAGACTCCTGAGGTCTCAGGCTCTTTGACCCTGGGATACCACTCATCACACTCTGCTTTATGGCTCCCCATGGATTTTGAATGGAAGATCCACTGGTAATGAAAGATTCATCTACTACACACTGCCCTCCTGAGCCCAGTGAACATCAGCCTTGATTTTATGTCTATTGACCTGAAATTCTGATACATAGCGAGTACGATACGCAGTTTAATATGGAACATACATCTCAGGCGTCTCTGAAAATGTTCAGCATTGCACACCAGAGAGGGCGTTTTGATCTATTTCACTCAGTTCCTCTACTGACCCAATAATGATCTCTGATATCTGATTAGCCTGCCGGCTATGGACACCTCCATTTCTTGGGAGACATAAGCATCTTTCCCTCCCTGTTTCCACTCTCTTCCTCTCCTTGTCTGCCGATGTCACCACTCTCAGTCATCCTCATTCACTGAGCTGTCTCACCAGCTCCAGAGACAGAGGGTTTCCTCTGCCTTGGCAACAGTGCCACATTATCGTGTACCTGCTGGGATGAGAGGAAATGTGTTGATTTGTTGTCGCTGTGAGGTTGGAGTGCGTGTCGCGCAGTCTGTTTCAGCCTCACTCAGAGGAAATGAAAAACAGTTATCTCCGTCTAAAGGTTTTTGTTTTAAGAAAACCCTTGTGATCATAGCACATGATTAGCCCGGTGATAATGCCCAAAGGGTGCTGCTATCCCAGCTCAGTGATAAGGAGGAGAGGGAATTAAGTTAAACAGAAAGTGAGGGCAGCTTTGTTACTCAAGTTTTTCTATCTATCTATTTTCACAAAAACAATACAAACAAACAAAACAAAAAGCTAAATAACAACATAAGTACACAACCTTAATATTTGTAGAGCAACCATACAATATATTACTTTTTATAGAATGATATCCTGGTCTCTAAGGATACTGGACATGAAAACCATAGCTGACCTGACTCTTTGCCCTGTGTCGTCCCTTGGTCGTCGTCCAGTGTCAGGTCACTGAGCAAGTGCTCCAGGATCTTCTCGGGGGTCCCTGACACCACCACGTACCTGTCAGACACAACAGAGTCAGCGGACGAGTCCTCCTCCATCGAGGACAGAGATCGGCTGCTGCTCCAGTCCTCCTCTCCCTCCGTGCCCTCGTCATCTATGTAGCGAAAGTAGGGGACATCAAAAGTGGGCATGGTCACCGGCTCGGCCCGGCTGGTGCTGTCGGTGCTGCTCTGCTCTGAGCCTTCCTCGTCTTCATCATCCTCCTCCTGCTCCACCAGGGCAGCGTGCTGCAGGAGCCTTCCCTCCTCCTGCTGCAGGTGGAGGGGAGGTGGACGAGATCCCATCCTTTGCAGAGTTCCTGTGCTCTCACTCCGGCTGTGGTTCTTGCTGCATGACACTTTCACGCATCCATCCGTCCACCTGCAGCCGGTGGTCCAGTGTCCATCCCTCAAGCAAACTATCCCAGTACGCTCGAGTCCGAAGAACCTTTTTGAATCACTTGAATGGGAAGGATGCCAGCAGGGCACTGACTCAGAGTCCCATGCTACTCACTTCTATGTATTTGATAGAGTCATTTACATGCTGGGAGCTGTGATGTAAGCATGCCTGGATGAACGTGTGATCCGCAGAGACAGAGAGGCAGAATGATGAGCGAAGGAGTGCTGAAGGAGAGAAACCGAGAGAGAGGGAGGGAGGAATACGGAGAGGGAGGGGAGGGGAGAGGTTTACCTCCTGTTCCTTGTCTCTGCTCTGCCTCCTCCCCTCGCCGATGCAGAGAGGGCTGACTGCTCTGACGACACTCTCTGGAGAACCAGCACATCGTGGCCCCTCTCTCTCAGACACAAGCGGACTGCCTCGTCACTCTGTGGCTGGATGGAGAAAAGCAGGGGGGAGGAGAGGGAGGGAGGAAGATGGGGAGAGTTTGTCATCACCAAGGAGATTCCCTTGTTTTCTTCTCCCACTCACACAAATCACCTCTGATTTCCATCATAATACCTTGTCAAAGGCAGCACTGTAAATGAAAGAGAATTTTCATATATTATCATTTCATTCTTATCAGAGGAGTCCATTCAGGGATTAACATAAATGAGTCACATATTTAAATCAATGTTTTATGGGCAGAGCCAATTAAAATTTGTGTGGTGTCTAGAGGCTGTCTATTTCAAGCTGTCATGTAGTTACACTGTGCATACTGACAATGGTTAATGGTTCAGAGTTCATCTCAGAATTAATAAAACATGCTAGCTCCTTGTGGTGCTTTAAATGATGGAGTCATTCCCCATGTTGCATCTCTGTGTCTTTTGTCAGTGTCACCTCATCACCGTCTTACCTATAAAAAGTGACAGTTAAAAAAATAAAGGAAGTAAATATACACTGTGTACTTTTTATCAAATCTTATAGCCCCAGAGAGGTGTTCAGTACCTTTTCTTTATTCATTGCCCCATGTGTCTTCTGGGTTGTTTTGTGTTTGAAAACATACACGAGAGGCAGTATTTGTGCATTGAAGTATTTGTGCATCGTCTCTTCTATCCTCTCTTTACACATTTGTGCAGTAACACATTAAAGCTCAGTCAACAGAGCAGGATGTTTCATGTAAACCCTACTGATGCAGCATCTTCTCGTGTCTGTGCTGTAGTGTTTGCATCCACAGAGGAGCGCTTGCGCTAAATTCCACCCAGCTGCCAAGGAATGATTTGTATTATTCTTTAGAAATCTAATTACATTTTCTTTCCTGGTCCAGAAACGGGAGCAAAAGGTTCAATATGGAAATTTGAAAATGCTGGTATGTGATTTTTTTCTCTTCTTTTCATAAATTGTGGAGCACATGCACAGTCAGCTTTGCACGAACACTTTTTTGGTTTCCTGTACAAAGCTTGGCTTGCAAATAGCTTAGCAAGATCAATACGCTGGAGCTTGTCCTGTGTCGATAAATGAATTGATGTTATTGCAATATCAATAACGTTATATCATGTAAGCCCGTTACTGAAGGCACAATTCTTATAAAAGATAATGCTATTTATGGATTGGTTTATTGTTTCCTCTTCATGTATATTTTCTCCCCATAAACTATGTTGAGAGGATGACAAAACGTATTTTCTTTTATAACTCAAACTTCCTTTTCAATAATCAAAAAGTTTATTTTTTAACAAAGGGTGCAGTTAGTTGTTGAAGCATAACGATTCCTGATAGTAACTTGACAATGGAGCACCTAAATCAGATCTATTGGTCTTAATGAGGCTGTCACTATATACACACTCATTCTCAGTTCCCTCTTCAACCCCTCCTCCAGTCCTCAGCCGTCAGTCAATGCAACATGAGCCCCAGTTCATGCAATTAGCCACAGACGACAGGCTGGAAGAGGCTGCAGTTTGCTTTCCTAATTGCTTTATGCAAAGAAGCATACAGCTAAGCATGGCTTCCTGTCACAGTAACAGTTACCACAGATCAGATAAATATCCTGAGTGCAGGCGCATTAAGGATGAATAACATATGAGACAGTAACCCAACCTGCAAACAAATAAGTTTAATAATAACAAGTGTGCTCAGTGCTAACTACGCATGATTTCTTAATGTTGCAGTTAAAGCAACGTGACTTTCCAGTAATGTGTCCAACCCCACGGAACTGACTGCTAAATTCAGTATTTGTTGGTTGTTCCTTCTGTGAATCAAAATCTCAAAGCGCATATCTTTAATTATCTTCTACTGATTCTTTACACATACACACACACATCCTTATGCACAGAAAAATCACTCTCGTGTTTGAAAGACTGTAAAAGGGGTGTAATGACACAGATTTCCAATCAAAAACTCCAGAGCATGACAAAAATAAATAGAATATTCCCAGAAAGGGAAGGCTGCACTGATTAGCTTCCTGGTTGTTGGGAAATATATTCTGGGCGTTTATCAACATGTCAAACACATGGCATACACTGTGTGCCCTTAGCTTTGTCATAATGATCAGAGTCCATAAAATGTTGTATGTATCAGGACAAAGTCAAATCTTTCTCAGGGTATACCATAACAGTATTCCTGGCCTCACAATGACTAATAATATGAATGACCCCAGGAACAAACACATCGGTTAAAAACACTACAGCTATTCTTTGTGAATCTGATTTATCAACAGATGGAAAACGTTGAGTTGAATGTCTGCAAAGTGTTGCTTTGTTTTACAGACGACAGCAGAATATTTTTTTAAGATGCACAAAACCAACAAACCTAATAAAAAGGGTATAGAAAATAAAGAAAGCAAAGCTGCTCATAATATGTTGCCATAGTTTTTGAACACCTGTAAAGTAAAGAATACGAAGGTATATAACTCTTAATTAAGAGAATTAGTGATAGTTTTTTTTAAAGAAATTACACAACCATTATGATGCAACAGAGTCTGTCACACATATCAGATACACAATCTAATGTATATTAAGCATCCCTGCTTTGGATGGGATTTAACAGATTTCTAAGCTCTTTCATGTTTGACCCACATGACCTGCAATATGTGCACTGTAGCATCACTTTAAAGCATTCTACAATTCAGCATTGCTGCCAGATAATCTCCCATAATACTAATATTTCCAGATCCTGTCAAGTATTAACCACGGATCAGCTTATCTGACCATTATCCCTGGACATGAAAATGTCCACAGACCACTGATATTCCACGTTTTTCCTTTCTGACCACGAGTGACTTGGTGCACACCTGCAAACCACTAAAATAAATTTAGAAGAGAATATTGTGTGATGTATAGCACTGGTACATGATCACACCTGTATCATCAGTGGCTTGACCCCAGGTGCAGGATTTCTACCTAAATGGTAAAACCTTGTTCAGGAGAAAAGGTCAGTTATGTGACGCACGAGGACCCACCCTGAGTCCACACAATGCATTGGCATGGTGGTCTGGCCGCCTACGTCAACTCTTCCTGCAATTGTTTGATAATTCAGCAGGCAGTTACAGCTGGCAGGAAGGGAGAAGCTGAGCCCACCATACAGTTAGCCAATCAGGTGGCTTCTTGGCAGTTAACGCCCCGGTGATGTAATATTGTTTAAAAAAGTGCCGACTGGAGAGAACAAACGGTATGTACAATACCATTTTCAGCAGGTACCAGTGTTGGTACAGGTGGTTTGAAATACAAACATTAGAGCATAATTGCAGGTAAAATTTGGTTTTATGTCAGTGAAGTGTAAATGCACTCTACAGGGCAACAGCTAGACTGTACAGAAGAAATCATTTCCACACATCACTGGGGGAAGATTTGGTCCACGCTTCTTTGCAACATTGCCTCATTTCATTGACATTTATTTAAACAAATCTTTTTTTTTCAAAAATCCAATTGAGTATTTCATTCTGGTTGGACCATCCCAACACATTGAACATTTTCATTATCTGTCATTCTACTGTTGAACTGCTGCTGTAGTTGGCATCATGTTTGTACTGTGGGACCCAATTTGAAGATGACCTGATATTAGGGGTGAGAATACTTTGCCAAACAGAGATGCTCATGTCTGACCCAGAGACTGCATGGTGTGAAAGCCCTGTGGCTGCAGAATATAACAAAAGTATCATCCTTTTTTTGTGTTTACGAGTTAATGCAAAGTGTGTTTGCTGAAATGTTGTGTTTGGTTTAAGATAAACCCACTAAATGGAAACTTTGACAGCAGTCTTGCATGTTTTTACTTTTGAAAAATCATGCTAACAATAGATTATAGTCTGCTAACGAACAAATGAACTTAAAGTTAATTCTCCATGATTGCTGATGTCTTTCTACCTGACTGGTCTACACCAACAAAGTGACAAAACTTCTGTTTTCATAGAGGTGCTCACACTTGCTGAGGATCAGTGACTCAAAAGTTCTACATCTAATGTTGGAAAGCCATCTCAAAATGAACTACAGTTTGATCTATGAAATGAAACGATACCTTGCATTGAGATCAAAGACTGTTGTGAGGTACTTTACTCAACATGAGGTACTTAACATTTGTGTGTTTAGTTATAATGACAGTGAATGTTATAAGACACGTTTGGCTCACCTCACTTGTCCTCTCCGGGCTCTTGCTGTGGTTTTGCAGGAAACGACAGCCATCCTTTGCCAGTTTCTGGACCATCTCCAGCCTGGACAGGTCCTCCTTGTCATGCATGATGCACTTCCCTTGCTGCAGTGCCGGGGAGACGGAGAACATGTACCTGAGGCCACAGTCCCACGACATTGTCAGCAGACAAACCACTGGCTCTCCAACAGGCAAATCGCCAGGAGTCACACAACTATTACAAGAAGCGTAATAGGAGGTGAACAGCTCCAAAATTAATTTATGGACTGCCTCTGCTTTTTCCCGGGTTAATTTAATTGTCTGTCTTTCCAGTCCAGGTAAATCCTATTTCTTTGCCTTGTTCAGTTCCGCAGCAGAAAGGCACACCATTGAAAAGACCTCATCAGTGGGATGCCAGGTATCTCTCTGTTGGCTGTACTAAAACTGAATGATAGAGTCCCTTTCTGTGTCCTTCTTGTGACTTTCACCACAGGGGAGGGGAGGGAGTTGGGAGCGCTGTCGGCTGAGGAAACATCTGGTGAGCCAGACAACCCCAAAAAGGAAGTTTCAAAATCTCCCGAAAGCAGGAGAGAGTCAAGATTCAGGATTGGGCAGGGTATTAGAAGGTCAAACTCTTGTTGGGTGGATATGTATTACGTGTGAAATGTTCTGTTCTCAATCACAATGAATTCAACGAAAACAATGAAATGAATAAATGTCATTTGCGAGCACAGTAGCCTTCGCATATTTCTGGCAAGCGGTCATGAAGTCGTAACTCTTCAAATACTTTGAATTTGAATTACCTTAATTTTAGGTTGACATTGAACCAGCAAAGTCTCTAAAGAAGGCGTAATAAAGTTTCCCTTAACAAGATGTTACGTTAGCTGCAAGTTTAATTTAAAAAAAAATCCACAGCTTGTGTATTGACCTGGATAAGGCAAGGACTTTAATTCCTAATATGAACGCTTTATCTATTATCATTAGATCCTTCCCCCTCTGACAGTAGAGTAATGCTGGGCAGGGGCCAAGTAATGTCAGCCCAAGGTACTGCTGACACAGCAAACCGTCGAATGACAAAAGGCTCTCAATTCTAAAAGGTGATTCTCACACGTGAAGTCCAGTCACATCATTCCACTTTGGTCCTTTTGTTATTCTGATGTACAGGATTGGGAAGTTTGCCCACAGACGGAGTGCATGCTATATTTAATCAGTTAAGGAAAAAAAAAGCTTGAAATAGTTGTAAGGTTTTTGGCAATATTGAATTAGTCTCTACCACTGTATCACTGAGTAAGGGAAAAAGAGAAAAGATTCCTTAGTGAGATCGCGAGGAGGACAAATCTAGCTTTAATCTACAACCACTGACCCAGTTTCTCAAGTAAATGAATTAAAAAAGTATGAATGCCTGGGGCTAGACTTGTTAGTGAGCTTGTTCTAATACTCCTCAGTGTAATCAGGGACTGCCAGGAAAACCTTGGGAGGTGCGCTGCTACTGTAGGCCCGCAGCGTCTTAAAAGAAAAATAACTGACGAAACTCCTGTGAGCCTGTTACAGAATTCCCCCTCCCCCTAAAACATTGGACCTCTCAAGTACGAGACTCCTATAGCTGAGAGACTTTAAAAAGCAGAAACAATGCCACTGCCCTGTTGTGTGTGATGATGAAAGTGTGAAGTGTTTTCTGATTTACCCTATGTTACGAGAACAAGAAAATCACTCACAGGAGGGATGGAAACCTATTTGCTTACTTTCAAAAATTCCAAGGGGACAGGAGCTTGACTTCAAAGGGGAAGTCATGTAGGGGGAGTAGGACCACTGCTGTTTGCTGCTATTCTGAGATCCCAAAGACCTTCCTGACCATCTGGAATAATAATTTATCTCATCAATACATTTTCTTTAAGTGGGTTAGTATTTGGCAAGTGACTGAAGGATGGATGGATGGATGGATGGATGGATGGATGGATGGATGGATGGATGGATGGATGGATGGATGGATGGATGGATGGATAGATAGATAGATAGATAGATAGATAGATAGATAGATAGATAGAT